TTGCAAAGGGAATAATCCAAGAGAAAAAAAGACAACAATTTGCAACAAACAGCACTCCACTCTACTACATAAAACAAATACTGGGAGACATGAAATATCAAATAAACACTAATACAATTGTATGGGGAAACTCAATACCCTAATGTCACAAAAAGACAGATTAACTCAATAAGAAATCAACAATAATATACAAGAACTTAACCAAACTTCTGAACAAATGGACTTAGTAGATGTCTACATAATGTTCTACTCCACAAAACCAGAATATACAAAATTCTTAACTGCACATGGGACGTTCTCCAAAATGACCACATACTAGTTCACAGATCATGCTTAAGCAAATGCAAAGGAACTAAAATTATCCCATACATTTCACCAAACCATAGTACAGTGAAAGTGGAAATCCATGGCAAAAGAAATCATAAGAACTTCATAAACACATGAAAATTACATAGCACCCTCCTGAACAATCAATGGGTCACAAAGGATATTAATACACAGTTTCTACAAATTGAATAATAAACACAATACAACATACTGGATCTTCTGAGACACAATGAAAACACCGTAAGACAGAAATGTATACCAGTGAATACCCACATCAGGAAAACAGAGCAAGCATAAATAACTTAATGCTGAACATCAAACTTTTAGAAAAAGAAGAGCAAGCTAAGACAAAAGCTTGTACCAGGGAGAAAATTATAACAATCAGAACATAAATTAATACATTGGAAACTAAAATAACAATACAAACAATAAATGAATCAAAGAGTTGCTTCTATGAAAGATTAAACACAACTGACAAACGTGTAGTCAACTTTATCAAAAAAAGGAAAGAAAAGACTCAAATCTAAGTAATCAGTAATGAAAAGGCTGAAATCAAAACAGACCCTGCAGAAATACAGAAATGATAGACTCTGTTAATGTGCATGTTATATTATGGATTTATATATATTGAATCATTTATATATATTGAATAAATCATTAATTTATATATATTGAATCATTTGTCTATACCTACTTCAAAAACTTTTATTCTAATAAGATGAAAAATGGAGAAGAAATAGATTGCTAGATATATATGAATTACTAAAGCTTAGTCAAGAAGATATAAAATCTTAAGTAACCCAATATCCATCAATGAAATCAAAGATGTAATTAAAAACTTACGAACAAAGAAAAGCTCAGACCCTGATGGATTCACTGAAAAATTCTACAAGAAATTTAGAGAAGATCTAACACAGCTACTTCTTAAACTCCTTGATGAAACTGAAAGGAAAGCAAGACTCCCAAATTCGTTTCTGGAAGCAAGTATTACCCTGATACCAAAACCAGAGAAGAACCCAACTAAGAAAGAATATTTGCATCTATGTTGATTAGAGAGATTGATTAGAGAGATTAAACCAATCTCTCTGATCAATATAGATGCAAAAATCCTCAATATGATACTAGGAAACAGAATGTAGCAAATCATCAAGATGATTATACATCATAACCAATGGGATTCATCTCAGGGATGCAGGAATGATTCAATATATATAAATCAATAATATAACATGTCACATTAACAGTCAAGGATAAAAATCATATGATCATCTTCAGAGATGCAGAAAAAGCTTTTGACAAACTCTAGCACCCATTTATTATTAAAAAAAAAACCCTACAGAAAATTGGAGCAGATGGTCTTTATCTCAATCTGATAAAAGCCATCTATGACAAACCAACAGCCAATATCATACTAATGGACGAAAACTGTAAGCTTGCTCTCTAAAATCAGAAACATGACGAGGATATCCACTGTCTCCACTCTTATTCGACATAGTCCTGGAAACTTTAGCTAGAGGGATTAGACAAGAGAAAGAAATAAAAGGAATAATCAAAGAAGTTAAATTATCATTATTTACAGATGACATTATCATTATTTACATAGCAGACCCTCAAAACTCCACCAGAATACTGCTAGATTTAATAAGCAAATTCAGTAGCTTACTAGACACAAAGTCAACATTGAAAACTCAATAGCCTTCTTGTACACAAATAACAAACTCACTCAGACAAATTAGAGAAAAAAACAGCTTTCACAATAGCACTGCTCAAAAATGAAATACTTAGGAATCAACCTAATAAAGGATGTAAAAATCCTCAATATTGAAAACTACAGTACTCTTAAAAAGGAGATTGAAGGGGGTATCAGAAAATGACAAGATGTTCCTTTCTCTTGGGTAAGACGAACCAATATAATGAAAATGGCCATACTTCCCCAATTGTTACATAGATCTAATGCAATTTCAATCAAAATTCTAAAGCATATCCCACAGAAATAGAGAAAACAATCCTAAATTTTTTTGGAACCAGAAGAGACCTAGAATACCGAAGGCAATTCTGGGCAACAAAGGCAAGGCAAGGAGCATGAAAATCCCTGACTTGAAATTATAGTATAAAGTTATTATGATAAAAACAACATGGTACTAGTAAAAAAAAAAAAGACCCAAAGATCATAAAATGCAGAAATAACTCCAGACATACTCAGTCCTTTTATCTTTGACAAAGGTGCCAAATTCATTCACTAAAAGAAAGACAGCCTCTTAAATAAATGCTGCTGGAAAAACTGCCTCTGCGCATATCAAAGATTAAAACTGGACCGGTAACATTTCACTATGGCTAAATTTGAAATGGATCAAAGATCTAAGTATTAAAACAGAAACACTGAGCCCTCTTTATGAACAAGTGTCATACATAGGCCACTGACCCTGGAGAGATATCCAGAGCCCAGCCTTTTCCTATGAGTCAGAACTATTTGTGGACTACAGGGGAAGAGAATAAGAATTCACCATGTAGCAAGCTCTCCCTGTGAACCAGCACAACGCGTAGTTGCCTTCCTCTGGGGGATAGACAGACCCAGCTCCTTCTGATGCAGGCTGGGAAATGAGAAGAGCCAATCCTCTTCTCTCCCCATAAGCAACTGGCTGATCTGGAGAAAAACAGGCTGTGATGATAGCTACTGAGGTGAAATACAATTTCATACTTGTGATGTTTGGTGTTTCAATGACTTTGCAGGTCTGGGGCCGGTGGTCTGATCATCTATTCAGAGAATGGTGGTATGCAGTGTGGCTTCGAGGGGGGAATCTCCTTCTGAAGGTAACAACTATAATTAATTTTCTATTATCCTGTTTTGAAGTCCTATATCATTTTCATTGTTTTATTTTTTTATGTCTGATGGCATAGGCAGCTATTTCAAAGATAGCAAGATATATTATGGTAGCTATTTTAGATTTACTATTGTCTTGTTTTAAAGTCTTTTATTGCATTCATTGTTTTGTTTTTATTGTTTCTATCCTGTTTTGTTTGACTTTTATTATGTCTGAAGATGTCTTATCTATTTTGAAGACATCAAAAGACATTATGATAACTGTTGTTGATTTCGTAATGTTTTCAAGTACTCTGTCGCTTGCACTGCTTTGTTTTTATTGGGCTTTATTCTGTTTTATTTTGCTTGGTTTTATTCTCTTTAAAATACAATTAAAAAATAACACATCAACATTAAAATCTGCTGATAGATATAACAGGTAAAACTCTTGAAGACATTAGTATAGGCAAAGACTGTGTGAATAAAACCCCAATTGCACAGAACTATCACAAAAGATCAATAAATAGGCTCTCATCTTATTAAAAAACTTTTGTGTAGCAAGTGAAACCAACAACAGAGTGAAGAGACAACCCACAATGTGGGAGAAAATGTTTTCCAGCTGTTCCTCAGACAAGAACTTATAATGAACTAAAAAAAATCAGACCTCCAAACTTTAAAGACCCAATCCCAAAACGGGCATCTGAGACAAAAACATATTTCTCAGATGAAAAATACAAACAGTAAACAAATATATCAAAAAATGCTCAACATCAATGATCATTTGGGAGATGCAAATTAAAACAACACTGATATTCCATCCCACCACAGAAAGAACAGCTATTATCAAGAAATCAACCAGTAACAAATGCTAGAGGGACTATGGGAAAAAAGGAACCCTTCTCCATTGTTGGTGAGAATGTAGACTAATGCAACCACTGTGGATGTCAGTGTGGTGATTTCTCAAAAAACTAGGACTGGAGGTCCCATTTGACCCAGCAATTCCCCTTCTGGGTATCTTTCCAGAAGAATTAAAAACATTGTACCACAGCGATATATGTGTACCCGTGTTTACAGCAGCACAATTTGTAATAGCTACAGTTATTAGAATAGTTATTAGATAATAGTTATTAGAAATAACTCAAATATCCACTAACAGAGGAATAGATGAAAAATATATGGACTTTTTACACAATGGAGTACTACTCAGCCATAAGGATAAAAATGGAAATTTTTATAGTCAAATGAGCACAACTCAAGATCCTAATCATAAGTGAAAGAAGCCAGATGTACATGTGTAAACATCATACGGACTCCCTAATGTGAGACGCTGAAATAGTAAATAAGATCCAAAATGTACAACCAATATTGTAACATGGGAAGGAACTTAAAAAGGAAAGAGTAACTTGGATGGGGAAATGGAAAACAGAACAAAGGGAAAATTTTTAAAAATTGTATTTACATATATATATGCACACACACAAATATATACACAGATACATATACATGTTTATACATAAAAGACAGTTATACTACCACTTTTTTTAATTCACTGAAAAGAAAGGTTTGTGCTATTTGTGCTAATATTGATTTGACAATTAAATGCTGATATCTTGTACTCTTACTAATTTAAACAGAACAATATGCAATGTACTAACCATTATTACTCTTCCATTATCTTGTTTGGTAATTGTGTTTTACCTCTCTCTTTAAAATTAAAAAAAAAAAACTGCTGGGGATTTAGCTCAGTGGCTTCAGCACCTTCTTGGCAAAGCACAAGGTTGTGAGTTCAATCCCCAGTACCAAAAAAATAAAAATAAAAACTAAAAAAAAAGGAAGCACAGAAAAAAGGAACAACTCGCAAAGGGCTCCATACCTCGAAAGATGTCCAGAATGTGCTTTCCCACATACCAACAGATGGTCTCAAAGTTGGGGAACTTGAAGAGGTCTGCTGTACTCAGTCGCTTCTCAATCTCATAGGCTCTGGAACGAGGAGAAAAAACAATAAGGATCCATTTACTGAGTATCTACTATGTATATCAGTCACTATTCTGGATGCTAAGTAATCACTATTTCCAATCCAGACAATGATCCTATGAGATACTATTTTAATATATTAGAAAATTTTGAACTCAAAGGTTGCATTACTTGCCAAAAATCACATAACTACTAAGTAAAAAAAAGGTATTAATCCTCAAACTAAATATCAGCAGAAAGCAGGATCAATTCCTTTAATTGTCTCACCTCTTACTATGCTGTACTTCTCACTCTAGAGGAGATACTAAGGACTAACAGGAATGGCCAAATTTAGGACTCACTTGAGCTGCATTTCAATATTAAGGCTGTGTAAGAAGTTTCCTCCAAAGGCAAGGCAGTCCACAGGGGTCAGCACAGCATGAATCCATCCTGCAGTGTAACAATGCAAAATTAGAGTTGGCAGATGGCCTTACTTCTTCTGAACAACTCCAATTCCTACTTAGCTCAACCTCAACTCCTTCAGAACAGTTTGCCTAAAGCTGGACATAATGGCATGCACATATAATTCCAGCACTCTGGGAGGCTAAGACAGGAAGACTGCAAGTTCAGGCCCAGCCTAGAAAACTTAGTGAGATTCTACCTCAAAATTTAAAACAATAAAAAGGGCTCATGATGTAGCTTGGTGTGAATGTACCAAAGTTCCCTCCACAGCACTTCACACACATATAAAAAAAGGCCTAGCAGTGACATAACATTCTTAGCTCTTCCTCTGTCCCAACAACCAACTGGCCAGGTCTGCCATCATTATAAACCTCAACTGAATCAACCTCTGGAGTTAATAAACTTCCCCTTCCACACTGTCCATTTCAGTAATCAATCTGTTACCTTAACTAACTCTCTCTTGTATTTTAGAACATCAGCACCTCACCATAACTACTTCTAATTCTAACTTAGGCAATAGAAGAAGTTTCTCTGCTGCAGAGACCTAGGTTCAATTGTGCAATTTCTTCGCAAAACATCTTTTTCAACAGATTGGCCATAGAGCTTGTACCCACTTAGAACACAATTATACTCCTTGACCTTTACCTCTCCCCTTCTGTGATATTATAATTTTTTCTTAAATTTCTCCCGTATTCATTTCCTCTTCTCCAACCATTATCTATTGGCTGCTATAGCAGTATTAGCTGGTTTTTCTACATCACCTGCTCCTTAGGTGACGCCTAGAGATACCCTGAGCACCTTCAGACTCTTTCAGAGAATGAGAGGACAAAACACTTCCTTCAAACTAGTAAAATATAAACCAACAGACTGTGATATACTCTGTGTGTATGTCAATAACTAAAGCAACCATTTAAAAACTACAACAAACAGGTTAGAGATGGTGTCACAGGCCTATAACCCCAGCACTTGGAAGCGTGAGGCAGGAAGATCTCTTCAAGTTTGAGGTCAGCCTAGGCTACGAAGTGAGTTCAAGACCATAATGAATTGCATAATGAAACCTTATCTCAAAAAAACAAAACCACACAAATAAAAAATAACTAGAGTACTACTAAAAATCTATAAAACAGCTTAATCTAAAAATTCATATGAAAATTCAAGAAATCTAGAATAGCCAAAATAATCTCAAAAAAAAACAACTTAAGAGGACTGATATTTCATACTTTTCAAACTTATAACACACATATAACTGAGACAGTGTGATATTGTCCTAATCATATTAGATGCTTCCATTTATACAAAATATTCATGAGAGGCAAATCCATATACGAAGTAAGTACAAAAGTAACTTCCAGGGACTGGGAGGAGGAAGGAATAAGAAGTGATTGCTAATGGGCACAGGGTTTCTTTCTGAGATAGTAAACATTTTCTGGTATTAGCAGTGATATACTTGTGAATATACTAAAAACAACTGAAACACAGCCTTAAAGAAATAAATTTTATAGGCCAGGGATTTAGCTCATTGGCGTAAGTGCCTGCCTGGCAAGCGCAAGATTGAGAGTTTGATCCCAGGTACAAAACAAAAGGAATAAATTTTATAGTATGCAAATTATATCTCAATTTTTCAAAAGTAATTTAGTTAAATGAAAACAAAAATTTATCGAAGGGTGTTGCATGCCACAGCTAAATAAATGCTGAAAGGGAATTTATAGAACTAAATGCGTACATTAGGAAAAAGTATGAAATCAATAATCTAAACTCCTATCTCAACTTGAAAAAAGAGACAAAGTAAATCCAAAATAGAAGGAAAAATAAATTTAGAAATTGATAAAACAGAAAACAAAAGCATAATAGAAAAATCAATGAAACAAAAGTGATTCCTACAAAGATCAATAAAGAACACCCTCCAGCAAGACGGACAATAATAACAAGGCATAAAAAAACTATTGCCGACACTAAAACACAGGACACCGAAAAAGACCTAGAAGACACCAAAAGGATAATAAATAAATGCTTTAAATAACTCTACACACACAAACTCCAAAGAAATATTCTTTTAAATGCAATGTCCCCATACTGCCCAGGCTGCTCTTAAATTCATGAGATCAAGTGATCCTCCTACTTCAGAGTAGCTAGGACTATATCCATGTGCCATGACAGCTGGCCTATACATATAAATTTGACCCATTTAGATGAAATAAAGCTGGAAGTATAGCTCAGAAACAGATGCATGCCTGGTACATGCAAGGCACTGGCTTCAATCCCACACACAAGGACAAAAGATAAAAATGGATCAATTCATTGAAGAGCACAGACTACCACAACTCATCTAATATGAACTACCCTTGTAAATATTAGGAAAAAAAATCAATGTTAATGAAAAATTTTCCCCAAAAAGAAATCTTTAGGTCTATGTGATTTCAGTAAACAATTGTATAAAACATTTCAAGAAAATTTAACACTAATATACCTGGGTGTGGTACTGCACACCTGTAATCCCAGCACTTGGGAGGCTGAGAGGCATGAGGATTGCCATGAGTTTGAGGCCAGCCTGGGCTCTATAGTGGGTTCAAGGCCAGCCTGAACGCATAGTTAGACCTTGACTCAAAACAAAACAAAACAAAACAAAGCAAAAGAAATGCTGATTAAAGAAATCAAGGAAAATCTAAATAAATGGGGATACATATTGTATCATGGAAGACTCAATCAAGTAAAGTTGTAAACTCACCCACGGTTGAAACAACTGGGAGACCTATTCAAAATACATATACTAAAAACTCACCTTAGAATTAACAATTCCAGGAGTAAAACCCAGGCATATGTTGTTTAGGAATAAATGTCCCACTCATCTCAGATCATTCTAACTTAAAAGACTAGTCACTATCCTTAGTCATAGGGCTGAGAATCCTGTTCCCTATTTGCTCACCAAGTTGACATCAACCTAGTGCAATGGAGTCCATCAACTTCCTACTGAACCATTCCTCCATTTGCAGCCTTCCCAAACATGTTCCCCACTGACCACCACATAAATTTTCCTGAGGTCTAGTTCTAGGCCTTCAGTTGATATGAGAGAGGTATCCCACATAATCAGATTATTACATTATGGGAAGCAGTTGGCTGTAGTACTACAAGCTCCCCCTCTTTCTGCCCTCATGAAACACTCCCTCCCATCCCAAAAGGTCCCAAGGAAGACCTGTAGGAATGAAAAGTGTCTGTCCTTGCTTCACAGAACACTTGTAGCACTTGTCCACCTGGTCACCAAAGAACATCTCATTCTGATTAGAGGAGCTGCTCCAGCACTCAAAGAGAGTCAGATTAGCATTTGTTGGGCGAATCAGGTAGAATATCTTCTCACCCTGAAACAAAAAGATATTGAAGTGCCAAAAATAGCAAGTGTTTCCAGAAAAAGTCCGTTAAGGATGCTCCAAAAGATATTCTTTCTCAAACTCCACAAGAATAATTTTTCTGTGAATTTGACTTTGCACTTTTGTTTCTATAAATTTGACAAAAGCAATTTGGAAAGGACATTCCAAACAAAATTGTTTAAGTGAGGAGAAATATATACCATGTGCTCCTATTTTAGATGCAATGACAAATGAAAAATAGCCTCTACAGATGACTCTGCTAGCTATAAGAAAATTTAAGGCCATATTACTGATGAGAAGAAATCTGAAGTTGCCTTTAAATGCCACTTATAGAGTGTTATACTCACCTTTGCAATTGAAGCTAAAAAAATTTTAAAGTTCAGTGATTGCCCAAGGAATTCTAGAAGATGATATTAGGTGATTATTTGTTAGAAGAAAATTTTATTTCCTAATTGTGCTTTGCCTGGATAATCACCAGATAGACAATTCAGAAAAAAATAAATAAAGACTCACCAACAAAAAGAAATCCCCTAGATTGAAGATTTAACAATATTATTTCACAATAATAAATTCTAAAACAAAAAACAACAATACTAGAAACATCTACTGTACAACTGGAGAAATTTAACAGCTCTATAGATCATTTGATAGTCTATAGCAATATTAATTTCCTGATTTTTTTAAATTTCCTGAGTGTAATAATTTATACTGTGATTATATTGACAATAACTTTGTCTTTAAGATCCACTGAAATATCAGAGATAAAGGGATACTCAATCTTTCTCAAATGTCTAGGAAAAAATATGAAACTATTATGTTTGCCTTAGGGAAAAAGAAAAATATTTAAGTATTATGTTTGCTTTAGGGAAAAATAAAATACAATAAACTGGTAACATTAAATAAATAAAATGCTAACATTTGGGAAATCTGGAGACAGGCACATAGGAAATCTTCCCATTATTTTTGCAACTTTTCTATGAGAATGAAATTATTTAAAAATAAGAGTCAAATGTAACATTTGCATAATAGCACTTTCATTTACATACTCAAATTTCTTCATGATAAACTTGTGGCAAAACTAGTTGAAGATCATTTGAACACCAATAATCTAAATTTACTATTCTTTCTTGGCATTTCTTTTTTGTTTGTCTTTTTGTTTTGCTTTTTGTTTTTTGAGGCAGGGTCTTGTTCTGTAATTCGGACTGGCTTTGAACTCACTATGTAGTCAAGGCTAGCCTCAAACTCCTGGCAACCCTCCTCCCTCAGCCTCCTTATGGGCTAGGATTACCAGCCTTCTTCCTTGACATTTCTGATAGGAAACCTAAAAGTGGTACCTCAGTTCACAAATTTAATTCTTCCCATGGTTCTGGTCACAAACTGAACTGGATAAGAAAGGAATCAAATTTTCCATAAGTTCAACATTGAACCTGACCATTGAATTTGATTTGCTTGTTGTCTAGTTTAGTTTGTGACCAGAACCATGGAAAGAATTAAGTTCATGAACTGAAGCATCACTGAAGTATAAGTAATAGTAAAATACTATCAAAATTATCTAAGAATTGTTTTCCTAAAGGTAAAAATCCTTTATAGTCACTAAGAATGCTTCAATTACAGCTATAATAATCACTAAAAAGAAAACTATAGGAATCATGATCCAAAAAGACTTCACGTATGTTCTATTTTGACTGGGTGACAGTTAAAGGACCATATATAATTGTCAAAATGCATCAAACTGTATCTTTAGAATAGATAGTCAAAACGGGGTGTGGTGGCACACACCTGTAATCCCAGAACTCAGGAGGCTGAGGCAGAAGGATCCCTTGGAGTTCGAGACAAGCCTGGGATAAGTGAGACTCTGTCTCAAAAAAAAAGATAATCTATGGTATATAAGTTAAAATATATTAATAAAGCTGGAGGAAGCAAAGTTTCTCATGTTATGAGGAATGTCTAAAATAAATATGGATATATCTATACATATTGTGGGACTATAAATTGGTTCCCTGAAAGAGGGTCACATCTAGGAAAACTTCAGGTATCTGCTGTTACTTAAATTTTTTGATTATGCATCAAAACTATAAAGTATAGACAGGCTATGATCAGGGAAGAGTAGTTACATAGGAATGTTACACAAATAGACTCTGGGATTCAGGGAAGCATAAGCAGCCTTATTTTGTGCCACCATGGACACATGCAGAATGTTCCCACATCTGGATGCTCCCAGAAGTCATATCCATTCCTACCTTGAGCACATGGTACCATACTGAGGTGCCACCAAAGTCAATGTGAAAATCTGTGTAGCTATCCCGTACACTCATGAGACAATACTTTTGCACATTGGGTCTCTCAAACACACACTCCTCTGGCCACAGGTTCTCAACCCATGACAGCTTTCGAACAATTTTAGGTGTCTCCACAAGGTTAGAAAGCCTAGGAAGGAAGGGGTAGAAGTAAATGTCAGCAGTACGGAAATTGACAGTTGAAGCACAAATAAAATATATGCAATGATGCAGGGTCAGATGAAAAACAAAAAGCTCTGCCCACAGAATCTATAAAGGCACATACAACATTAATTTCTGTAAGTCTAGTCATTCCATTCAGTTCCTAAAATACAAAGCTCCAGTTTACACTCTACCCCAGTAAAAAGTGGCCATTTACTCCAATAAATGATTATACTCCCTACCTCACTATACTCACTTGGCACTTAGTTTATAACAGTTATTGATCATCTCCATCTCATAATAGCAGTTTCTCATAGTGAGAAAACCTCTTGTGACTCAGCTTCAGGTTTAAAAAAAAAGCATTTCTCTGAAACTTCTGGTTGTTTTGTTCTGTTTTTTGAGATGGGATTTCACTATACAGTTCAGGCTGGCCTTGAACTCACTTTATGGCCCAGGGTGGCCTTGAACTCACAGCAATCCTCCTGCCTCAGTATCCTACTTCTAGTTGTTTCTATCCTATATAAAATCACATTGCACTCTCCTCTCTGTTCTAACCTTCAGAAGATTTAGTGAAAACTCTACAGTCCACTCCATTAATGATGCAGACATTGATATATGCATTTTATATAGAGTACCTACTAGATGCATCCTATTTCACAATCATTATCTTCCTTTTCTTCCACTTTTTTCTTCTCCATAGCCTTCTGCATCTTTTCAAGCTAACTCAAATAGTCTTTCAGGATGAAATGAGGTAGAAATAAACAAACACAGTTTTGAAAACACTTTTAGGCCAGTCAAGGTGGTGCATGCCTGTAATCCCAGCACTCCGGAGGCTGAGGCAGGAAGATATTTGCAAATTTGAAACTCGCCTGGGTTATAAAGTGAGCTCAAGGCCAGCCCAAACTGTATAGCAAGGCCCTGTCTCAAAAAGACAAACTTTTTAAAAAAATAGAAAAATAAACGACAAAATAAATAAATAAAACACCTCCAGGTTGTTTAATTTTGCATCTTAAAAAACAATACCAAGGGTTTGAATATTGTACTGTAGTTATGCTAAGATTTTACCATTGTGGGAAATTGGTTACAGAGTATACATGAGCTTCCTGAATACTTTTTTGCAACTTCCCATAAATCTGTAATTATTTCAAAGTTAAAAATATAAATACCTAACTAAGGACAAAAAGATATGTTGTGATTTCTTGGTATTTTTCACAGTTCTAAGCAAAAAAATCATATATATATATATATATATATATATATATATATATATATATACACACACACACACATATATACACACATAGCCAGACAAAATCATTCACAGGTTATAATATAGCCTCTTCTTTTTAAATTCTCCTTAGAGAATTTACTTGGTGATAATTTTAATGAATCTATTTTCAAGTACAAAGGACTTATCCTGGCAGACAGTGACCATGACACAACATAAACAAGGATCAAAGAAATCTATCCCAGATTGTAAAGAAGTCAGAAATTAATTAAAATAGACACTGTATAATCAATCCAGTTTTAGAAATTCTAGAGAACAAATATGACTCAGTTGTCATGATGTGAGGAGCTACCCTAGAAAGTATAAATCAGCTCCTTGTCCCAAACAAAAAACCACCAAGAAAAAGGAAAAGAACATAGATATATACTCAGTATAACACAAGTTCAAGACACTTCATCAGGATTTTTGTTACCATTGCCCTTCTACCTGGTATCAGAGAATTCCAAACTGATGACATTGAGGACTTTTTCCCTCTTCCCACTATAATAATATTTCACAAAGTCACCAAGCTTCATCTTGCAATCAGCCTGGCGGGTCACATCAATCACATCAATTTCTTTGTCAGAACCTGCAGTAAAGAAGTGGGTTTTAAATTGTACCAATAAAAAAAATTTTTTAAAAAGAAAACAAAATTCCATCTCACTCCAGAAAGAATGGTTGCCGTCAAGAAATAATCTGATAACACAAGTTGGCATGGCTGTGGGGGAAAAGGAACACTTCTCCACATTGGCGGGAGTTTAGACTGGTGTGGCCACTGTGGAAATCAATGTGGAGATTCCTCAAATCTAGGATTGGAAGTCCTATTCAATCTAGCTACTCTCTTTTAGGTATTTTCTCAGAAAAATTGAAAATACGACGTAAGCAATATATGAGCATCTATGTTTACAGCACCACAATTTATAATAGCTAAGTCTGGAAACAACCCAAACGCCCATCAACTACAGAATGGATAAAAAAGATGTGGTATTTTTATACCATGGAATATTACTCAGCTCTAAAAAAGGGTAATATTGAGGCTTTTACAGGTAAATGGAGGCAACTTGAGACTAAACTCATAAGTGAAATAAATCAGACTCACATTTGTAAATATCACATTGTTTCCCTAGTGTAAAAATACATAATAATAATAATAAAAAGCCTACAAGAATAGTAAGGTCCAAAATGTACAATAGATATTGTAATAACGAAAGGGAAAGAAGGTGCTCAAAAGGAAACAACAACTAGGACAGGGGAAAGGAGAAATGAAAAAAAAAAGATTGTATGTATGTAGGTATACACATACAACCATAGGTATGTATATGTGTGCAAGACAAATAACTATATTACTAGTTCTGTTAGTTCATTAAAAATAACAGTTTGTGCTGTCATTGTTTGATTGATTGATCATTTTTTGTGCCTAGATCTTATAACCTGAACAACTACTTCTAAGATAACAATATGCAATACAAAAAAGAAAAAGGAAAAGAAACAAATGCATTTGTACCAACTGGTCTCAGGGACTCAGAAAAGAGTTATCCTTTCACCAGTTCCTAAAATGGTGTAACACTCAAAAAATTTCTATCAACCTTAGGGTGCTGGCATACAAGCCTGTAATTCTAGCATTCTGGAGGCTGATGTGAGATGACTGCCCCTGAGTTCAAGGCCAGCCTAGCCTACATAGTCAGTTCAAGGCCAGTCTGAACTACAGAATGAAACATTGTCTCCAAAATCCCAAAACAAACAAATAAATAAAAGTGGAAACAAAACCTTCTATTAACAGACATTGTATATGAATGGGAGGGTTGGCTATGAAATTTATCACACTCTCTTTGGACCTATTTGGTTGGTGTATACATGTGAGGGCTATAGAATTACCTAACACACAATCCCACACATAGTGAAGTCCAACTGCCTAGGCTTTGCTTCCACATTTCTTTTCTCCCTGTCTCCCCAAACACTCATGCCCAAAAGACAACTAGCATGTAAGGATAACAGTCAAAAACTCTCATCTCAAGAGAGGACAGAAAGACAACAATGCCTAAAACTTCTCAGATGAATAAACATGGCTCAATCTAATTTTGTGTGGTCTATTGACAAAGAAGGAACAGGAAGCTAGGATTTTGGCTCTAGCTTTACCAAAGAATGATTCTGGTTGAGGCATTTCACCTCAGATTTCAAACATGGCTAGAAAAAAATAAAAAAGGTAAATTGGAGTGGAAAAGACATAGGTATTGACAGGAGTGGACAATGTCACAGTTAAAGAAGAATTGTGATGTCTTACCAACATAATGTTCCACATCCCGCACAGTGAACGATGATGAAGGCAACGTCATCCCCAACCCATCCTTCTTCAAGACCAAGATGGGCACACTGAAGCTATTCTCTTCCAGAAATTCCACAGTCAGCTGACTTCCAGTGGGCTTCAGAATCACTTCATCTGAGCTGTGGACCAAAAAAGAGAAATCTTAAGCCTGAAGGTTCTGCTCACAAATGGTCTTACTGGATGCCATCACTCACTCAAGAAGTGGGGTCTTCCCCAGTAAGCCTTATATAGGCTGACAATTAATGGCATAAATCTCAGGTGCCAGTAAGAAAAGGAACTGTTCAAGGCAAGAGGAAAAGGGACTAGATATAACTCAATAGTAGAGTGCTTATGTAGCATATACAAGGCCCTGGGTTCAATTCCCAGTACCACACACCCAAAATATGAGACAAAGTCACTGACAGAAGATAGGGAACAGCCTGTCAAAATGGCATTCTTTTCTAGATTACAAATGAAGAAATGAGTCAATATCCTGCCTAGGAAAAAAGATATATTTGCCAAGTTTTGCTGATTAGGTCTAAGCCAAACAGTAACTTCCAATTTAAAACATTAACCAAAGAAAGAAAAAACTGATTTTAAAAACAACTTTTACGGGGCTGGGGATTTAGCTCAGTGGCATAAGCGCCCGCCTTGCAAGCGTGTGGTCGTGAGTTTGATCCCTGGTACCAGTAAAAACACACACACACACACAAAAAAACCTTTTTAAACAAAAAACAAGAGTTCCGGGAGAACATGGCGGACAGATAAACAGCAACTACCGGAGGCTCTCTGAAAGACTCGGCTCAGAAGCCAGGTATGGTGCGGACTAAGGAGACATAAGCAGGTGGAGATATGCTCTGCTGACTCAGGAACGAACTGGGCTGAGAGAAACCAACTTGGAATGCATTCCTGGTGCTAAAACAGGAACAGAAAAGCCTCGGTGTGGAGGCTGGACCCCGGGCCATTGTAAGCCGCAATTTGGGTTTCCCGCCACGCGGCGGCTGGCTGCCTCTACAGTGGCTCGGCAAGGAGAGAGACACACGGAAGCTCTGAGAACGGCAATCTGTGAACCGCAGGGAGGCGTGCACTGACTTGTGGTGAGGTGAGTGAGAGAAACTGACACTCTACCACAGTTTGACTCCAGCGGAGGACTTTCTGGGCCCGAGCAGTCCTGCGGGAGCAGGGCACGGTGGCGACTCCAGCCACACATCCCCCTCTCGGGCGGGATTGATAAAAAGTGCCTGGCCTGCGTGACGCTGCCGGCGGACCTGGTAGACTGTCCCAAACCAGATCCCAGAGCCTGACGGTGGCCGGGAGGGGAGACGCGTAGGCTGCCTGGTCCGTAACTCCCTGGTGCGCAGCGGTGAGCGGGAACACCTAACTGGCGCAATTCGATCAGGCTGTGGCTGACTGGGAGAGAAGCTGGGCCTCTTATATAAGCTTGCATATATAAGGAACAGAGAAGAAGAGGCAGCATGGGAAGAGGCAGCAACAAGAAAGGCTCCTCGGCCCCCAATTCTGAGAAACAGGCAATAGCAGACACCGCACCAATATACATAAGGCACCATATAGAGAGCCTCATAGACCAATTCAGGAATGAAGTTATCAACGACCTGAAGCTAGAAGTATGCAGAATAGTTAGAGAAATGCTAAGTACCACCCAAGAAAAAACAGGCGGTGGAATGGAAGAACAGAAAAAAAGGGGAGAATTGTTTGATGGAGAAAACAGAGAAAGCATAGAATACGTGAAGCAGGTTCAAAGGGACTACCAAGATACTAAGAAGTCTATAGAAGACTGGCATAACAGCTTGAAAGAAACTAAGGACAGACTATCTGAATTGGAGGGCAGACTTGTAATATGGGAGAATGAAATGAAAAACTTCTTAAAAATAACAAAGAAACAAACAGCAATAATACAAAGACAAGAAGATGATAAGAGGATCCATAACTTAAGGATTAAGAACATAAAAGAAGAAGTAGGGACACAAACAAGTGAACTACAAAAGCTACTCACAGAAATAATCCAGGAGAATTTTCCTAATTTAGCAAAAGGTAAAGATACTCAGATGTATGAGGCATACAGGACCCCAGCTACCTACAACTCAAACAGAGCAACACCCAGGCATATAATAATAAAAATTCCAGAAATTCAATACAAGAACAGAATATTAAAAGCTGTAAGAGACAAGAAACAGACTACTTACAAGGGAACACCCATCAGAATTACAGCAGATTTCTCTGCACAAACCATCAAATCACGAAGAGCGTGGGGGGAAATAATTCAAGCTTTGAAAGATAATAATCTCCAGCCAAGATTGAGATATCCTGCACAACTGTCCCTGGAAATTGATGGAAAAACAAGGTGCTTCCAGGATAAAGAGGAACTGGGGGAATTTGCAACCACCAATTCAACTCTACAGAGAGTATTGCAGGATATTCTAAAAAAATAAAAAAAAAAAATACAAAGAATCCAGAAATAATGGCAGAGAGGCCACAACGAATGGAGCAGAGAACAAAATGAAGAAGACAAACTGACAGCTACTGACAGAAAAAGAGCTCAACAGAAATGAGGCAGAGAAGATTGGATGATAGGAACAGCTATTTTGGAGAAAATGACATCTTAATAGGTAGTGCTGATTTGGTATCATCTTGTTTTGAAGTCTCATCTAGCTTTTGTCCTTCTGTCTCCAATGGTCTAAATAGGTTGTATCTTACTGGATTTTATTATGTACGATAGTATAAGCAAAAACATTGTAAAGACAAGGAGATTATACAGAAACCATTGTTCATTTTCTGTTAGTCGATTCTAAATACTCTGTAATGCTGTCATTCTCTTGAATGGTTTTACATTGTTTTGATATACTTAATGCTACAGTATACGAAGTTGTACTCAAGGATTTCAAAGAAAGAGACAATATGGTAACTACTTTTAGGTTAGGATTATCTGGTGGTGAAACACTATTCTGCTTAAATGGTTATGTTTTGATCTGCGCTGTTTCGTTGTTATGCCCTCTTTTAGCTCAATCTCCACTCCATTATTTACTTTTTTATCTTTATCCTTTTAATTAAAGGAAAAAAATTAGCAGGATATATTATAGTAACCCACTTTGACTTTTCATTACCTTGATTTAAAGCCCTGTATTACTCTCACCATCGGGTTTTTAACTGATGTTCCCCTATTCTGTTTTGCTGGATAGTATCAGGTTCGAAAGTTTAGGCATCAGCTGTGAAGATAATGAGATTCATTATGACGCCCATTCTCGTTGACTTTTATCTACTTTTGAAGACCTACAATGTCTCCAATGTTTTGGTTTTGTCGGTTTTATTCTTTACCGTTTTGTTCAATTGTATTATAACTAACGATATAGGCAATTCTATTAGAGATAGCGGGAGGCATTATGGTAACCATTGTTGATCACCTTGTATTATGTTTTTACATTATCTATTATGTCCACCCTTTTGACTTGACCGATTCTGTTCTGTTATGTCACATTTGGTTTTACTCTCTTCCAAAAAAGTAATAAGAACCGTGGGAGCAATGAAACCCAAAATGTATAATAGTCATGGTACAAAAGAGAGGAAAAGAAAGTGCTCCAAACTATATAACTGCATGTATATTTAAGTGTATAAGATAGAAAATGATATCACAGAGTTTAATTGGATCAATGAACAGAACTGTTTGCAGTATCATTGATGGAATGTCCACTTTACAAGCTTTAATTTTGTGACTTGAACAATTATTTCTAAGATGACAATATGTAATCCATTAACTAGTGATTTCCTACTGTTCATTTTTTTTCTGTAAATCTGTATAACTTGTACCCTTTCCCTGCTTTTTTTTTCTTTTCTCCTTAAATAAAATTTTTTAAAAAAAATAACAAGGAACCAGGAAGTAACAATTCAAAGGCTAGAAGACGACAAGAGGATCTATAACTTAAGAATAAAAAATGTGAGCGAAGAAGCAGTAGTAACCACAAATGAAATACAAAGCCTATTCACAGAAATAATTAAATAAAACTTCCCAAGCATAGGAAAAATAAATGATATCCAGATAAATGAGGCATACAGAACTCCAACCAACTATAACCAAAAACAGATCTACACCCAGACATATAATAATGAAGGCCCCAGAAACTCGCCACAAGAACAGAATATTAAAAGTGGTCAGAGAAAAGAAGCAGAATACCTATAAAGGAAAATCAATCAAAATAACAACAGATTTCTCAACACAAACTATCAAATCAAGAAGAGCCTGGAGTGAGGTACTCCAAACCTTGAAAGAAAATAACCTCCAATCCAGAATGAGGTACCCTGAAAAACTCTCTCTCAAAATTAATGGAGAAACAAGATGTTTCCAAGACAAGGAGGAACTGTGGGAGTTCGTAGCCACCAACCCAACCCTATAAAAAATACTGAAGGATATTCTAGAGAGAGAGAGAAAAAATACCAAGATTCCAACAACAATGGCAGAGAGGCCTCAATGAATGGGACAGACAGTGGAATGAAGGAGAAAAGTGGACAAATAATAGCAGAAAAATAGAATAGCAGAAATGAGGCAGAGAATGTGGGCTATAATGTCTAATATAGATAGCCTTGATATACTAACAAAAAGAAACACAGGCAGAATAGATTAGGAGTCAGGATCCATTGAGATGCTCTGAATAGGAAATACACTCTACCTGAAAGAGGGTTAATTAACCGAAAGTCAAAGATGAGAAAACAATGCTCTATGTGACAGGGAACCAGAGAGAAATAGGGACAATTTGTCCAACAGCTGCAGATAGGTTAGAAAGTCATGACACTTTTGGGCAGTGGAGCACTACTCAGCTATAAGAAGAAAACCCTTGTGGCTTTAGTAAGTAAAGGAATACAGCGCAAGATCAAGTTCAAGGATAAAAAGGTTCAACACCACTTTGTCTAAAAACTAAAGGAATTAGTGGGACCTAATATATACAAAGCACCCTGAGAAAGGGAAAGAGGAGGAACTGCCTAAAAAAGGAAAGCAGAGGACATTGTTAATAGTGTATCAAGATTTAAAAGCCACAGTAGTGACAATTTAAAGGTGGGTCTGGGATACATACAGAGTTTAAGGCAGCCTAGACTACATTGCAAGTTCCTTCTCAAAACCCCCCAAAAATAACACAATTGAAAAGCTATCAACATAAGCACATAGTTAACAAAGAAAGAAATTAAAAATAGCTTACAAATGTACAAAATCTATTTACAGTTAGGCAGGGAGACACGTGCCTCTAATCACATCACTTTGGGAGGCTAAGGCAAGAGAATGGTAAGTTCAACCTTACCTGGGCAACTTAAAAAGGTATTTTGTAGCTGAGTTTTTTAAAAATTTATTTACTTTCTTCATAATTAAAGTAATCTAAGTGGAAACAATGATAAACAATGTTGGTCATGATACAGAGCAACAGCAACTTCACACACTCTGTAGTATGAAGTGGTACAACCACCAGAGAAACAACCTGCAGTATTTATAAATATATCTATCACATTTGCAAAAGTTAAATATAAAGATATTCACTGCAGCATTATTTCTAACAACAAAATACTGGGATCAAATGTTTAACAATAGAGGATTACTTAAATAAATTGTATATCCATACACTGCATCACTAAACAGGCATGAAAAAGAAGAAAACTTGTATAATTAAAAAATACAGTAAACATTTAAATACAAACAAATTTATTAGAGTAAAAGACAACGCAATTAATCCCCCTGAAAACACTTCTTATTGCTTTGAGCACACTTACCCATCATTCTTGCTGACGGGTTTTTCCCATGTGCAAGTTAACATGGTAGTGGACAGCGCTTCCCTTCAGCCATAGTCAGCATTAACTCCCGCATTCTCTAGAGCCCAAAAGTTAAACCTTCCACTTTGTGTGCACCAACATTCCTCCAATCAGCTGTCACGCTCCCCTTTAACTCTGACCCCTGTCAATTCCAAATAAATCCCACGGTTTTTTTTTTTCTTGAATGTTCCAGAGGGTGTTTGCCTCTCTCCAGCCGCTCTCCTGTGCCTGCAATAAAGGTTGCTTTGTTTCTACGTTTTCTCCCCTTTTGACTCTTTGGCATGGAGGACCAAACACTTGCCACTTTGTGAAGATGTTTTGGAAGCCCTTTCTCGTAAGTGCTTTTAGTTGCCATGTTGTAGTTATTTCTATATCTTGAATCAATTCAAAAGGTTTACCTTTCATGGTCATTTTGACAAGGGAGAAGAGCCAGAAATTACACTGTAACAGATTTGGTGAATAACATGCATAAGGACACAACATAATGTATTTATGAACCTGCCTTTATGTTGGTAGTAGCATTACCAATGTTTTTAACATATCTCATAATGACACTCATCAAAGAGAACTTAGAGAACTTTTAAAAATAGCAAGGAGATGGAATAAGTGAATTCAAAGCAAAAAGAAGTATTTTGAGAGTAATTAATGGCAATGTCTATTACTATGATCATTTTTTAAATTTAAATATTTACCATGTTGTTTTGTTTTTTCGTTTTGGGGGTTTTTTTTTGGTACCAGGAATCAAATTCAGGACCATGTGCCTTCCAGGCAGGCATTGAGCTGCTGCACTACCTTCTCAGCCCTCACCATGAACTTTGATCATACCTCATATATATACTCCAAAATGCATGTTAAGAATTTCAAATGAAAGTATATTTTAATTTGTGTCAAAAAAGTATATGTTTGTGTATACAAAAATTATTCTTGAAAGAATGCAAAAGAGTGGTTGGCTTAGGAAAAAAAACCTCAGAGATTTGAGATAGAGAAAAGACTTATGATCTTTAAATAAATTCATCAAAGATAGTAAGTTATTCTTAACTTGAAATTATACTATAAAGCTACTGTGGTAAAACAGTGTGGTACTAGCAAAAAATACAGACCGAAGATCAATGGAACAGGTTAAACACTCAGCCACCTTATCTTTGACAATGGTGCCAAACACATTCATGGCAAGAAAGACAGCCTCTTCAAGAAATGGTGTTACAAAAACTGTCTCTGTGCATGCTGAAGATTAAAGTTGGACCCATATCTTTCACCATGCACCAAACTAAATTCAGAATGGAACAAAGATGTAAATATTAAAAAAGAAACATTAAATCAGCTGGAAAAGAGAATAGGTAAAACTCTTGAAGATATTGGTATAGGAAAAGACTTTAATGAACAAAATACCGATTGCATAGGAACTGTCACAAAAAATCGACAACTGGGATCTCATGTTACTGAAAAACTTTTGCACAACAAGAAAAATCACCAACAGAGTGAAAAGACAACCCACAATGTAGGAGGAAATGGTTGCCAGCTCTTCCTCAGACAACGGATTACTATGAAAGAATACATAAAAAACTCAAAAAAAAATCAGCTCTCCCAGATTTAAAAACGCAATGCAATAAAAGGGAATCTGAGATGAATACATACTTCTCAGATGAAAAAATGTTCAACATCACTGGTCATTCAAGAGATGCAAATTAAAACAACACTGAGATTCCAGCTTACCCTCAAAAGAATGGCCATTATCAAGAAATCAACCAATAACAAATGCTGTAGAGGCTGTGGGGGAAAAAAACCCTTCTTCACTGTCAGTGGGAGTGTAGACTGGTGCAGCCACTGTGGAAATCAATGTGAAGATTCCTCAAAAAACCAGAATTGGAAGTCCCATTTGACCCAGCAATTCCCATTCTGGGTATTTTCCCAGAAGAACTAAAAACATTGTACCACAGCAATATATGTGCACCAACGTTCATAGCAGCACAATTTGTAACAGCTAATCTTGGAAACCACCTAAATGTCCACTGACTGAGGAATGGATAAAAAAGATGTGGTAGTTTTATACAGTGAGTACTACTCAGCCATAAAGAAGGACAAATTTGGGACTTTTATAGATAAATGGGTGCAACTTGAGATCATACTTATAAGTGAAATAAATTATGCATGTGTAAACATCATATCGTCTCAGTGTGAGATCCTGATATATATTTTATATATATATATAATATATAAAATATATATATATTATATATATAACTATATATATAATATAGTTAAGATAGTTATACTACTGATTTCGCTGAGTTCACTGAAGAGAAAGGTTCGTACTGGTACAGTTTAGACAATTGAATGCAAATGTCTTGTTCACTGAGTGACTGATTTGGGGATATCAATGTGCAATGTATGTATCATTGTTGTCTAAATAATCTAATAACACTTTTAATTATGGGAAACCTGAACAGTGTGAAATGTATGTACCATTGTTGTCCCCTGATTATTGTGTTTTGAAATTTTGTTTTTTTTTTCTCTTTGAAATAAAATGGATTTGGGAAAAAAGTTTAAAAAATAATCTATGTAACACTTTTAACTATAGGAAACTTGAAATAAAGTAACACTTTAATTACAGGGAACCTGAAAATGGTCCAATGAATTAAAAACCAGAGAAGAGTTATTTACTCATTAATTTTAATATTTATTATTTTATTCAATTGATATATTAACTTTTTAATATTAGGGGGTTTTTTTGGTACTGAGAATTGAACTCAAGACTCTGTGCTTGCCAGGCATGTACTTATGCCACCAAGCTATATCCCAGCTCTCAATTTCTTTTAATAAGGAGAGTTTAGTTAAAAAAAATTGATTGCAAAAGAAATACATGCCAATTCAAAATTTTTTTCATTCTTAAGTTTCCTTTTCTCTTCAATAAGAGAATTAAATTTGCTGAACATTAAGATTCCTTCCAGTTCTAGCTTTTCTTAGGTACATGTAAATATCGTCTCCTGACTTAGGGAGAACACTGCTTCCCAACTAGTAGAAATTTGTTGTTGTAGTTTTTGGAGGTGCTGGAGACTGATAATTCACAGCCTCATACACGCTAGGACATGTTTTTATAAGTAGACCCAAAGGTACTATGTACATCAAATAGAATTCTCTAGCTATTTCTCAGAAACTGACCAAAACATAAGTTCCCAAGAGGAAAGTTGGAGGGCTCAAAAGACATTCACAAATGGAAAAAGAATATAATGGCACAGCCAATAGGAAAGCTGGGAAGAGATGAATCTCAGCCTCTCAAATCTCCTTCTTCACTAGCTCTTTTTATCAGTACCGGGGATCGAACTCACGACTGCCTGCTTGCAAGGCAGGCACTTATGCGCTGCTGAGCTAAATCCCCAGCCCCCCTTCACTAGCTCTTAGAGCAGGAGTCCTCACCTGTCAAAAGTTCTACTCCTCAGTTCTCGAATAAACATAGGACTCCCAGTCTTCACAGGTTTCCCTTTGTGTGTATCATGCCCTTTTGAAGATCCACGTCGTTTTTTCACTACACCAGAAAAAAATATGAAATCATGAATTAGAAAGGCCATGTATGAACTATGAGTCCAAGAATAAATGCCTCTCAGATCCTTCCTCTCTTCCTACTTAATAATCCCTCTGAGAATCTGGAGTCAGAATCCCTCAGAGAATAGCAATGCCCCTGATGAAGTCAGGTGCTTTTCTATGCAAGCCCTAGGAACAGGGGGACTACAGCTATGCAATTTCGACTTCTCAGTGAGGCAGCTTCCAGTCTGCAGGGACTGTGTAAGACTTTTTTGTTTCTTGAAGATGGTGAATTTGAAGCACTTAGACAAAAGTAATTATATCTACAAGGTACCTCTGCTTTTGTCTCTGCTTTGGAAAACCTTTTGATAGAAACCATAAGATCTACTTACTAATGGAAGGCCCATGTAAGACCTCACAGTTGGGACAGTGGTAGAGGTCAATTTCAGCAGCCTTCTCCTCTTCAACACCAACACAACTAGAAAAAAGAATATCAACACTGTTTTAATTTTCTTTTTATAAAGTCTAGAATATTGCTGTTAGTACTATTAGTACATGTGTCTATTTACATTTAAATTAAGTTTCAGAAAATTTAAAATGCAGTCCCTGTACCACAATAACTATATTTGAAATATTCAATAGTCACATGTGTTTAGTAGCCACTATATTGAGCACAGTATGAAATATTTTTATCCATGCAAAAATTCTACTGGTCTCAAAATTATAATAGAACTATGCACTATTAAGCTCCATTAAGACTCAGAAAAATTGCCAGGGATATAACTCAGTGGCATAAGTGAGCTTAGCAAGCACAAGTTCCTGAGTTCAATTCCCAGTACCAAAAAAAAAAGCCTCAAACCTAGAAAAGATTCTAGAGCAATGTTATTTAACAGACATGTACTTTTAAATGTTATAGTCACACTACAAAAAGCTAAAAAGAAACAGATAAAATTTTAAACTTTATTGAGGTACTTTACTACATAAAACACTAAAAATATTTTGTAGTCAACATGACTATTAAGATACTTTGTTACATGAAAAACACAAAATATTTTATAGTCAATAGTGGTTGTAAATAAAGGATTATAGGGAGACATTTTTGCCTCCTTATCTGTATTTTCTGTCTTTACAATGAACTTGTGTAATTTATTGCATAACATAAAGTTTTAAAAAGATGTACTGTTTTGAAATTTTGAGTTTGCATGTATTCAAGTTGGTAATCTCACAAAATTAAGTCTTTTCTTTATCAAGGAAGACAGCCCTTTAAAGAACTCCTGGATAGATTAAACTCCTAAAATCTTTCGTCAGCTAGTTACAACAGGGAGCATAAAATATAGAGGGGCTCAAATTGTTTCAGTCTAGATCAGTGGTGGCTAACCTATGGCACTTATGTAATCTCTGAAAGCTCTAACATGTTTGTAATCACTGGTCTAGATTATGCTCATAAACTTGCTGGAATTATAAGTGTGCGCCACCACATCTGCCTTAATTCACTTTATAAAAAGACTTGGCAATTAAAGGGCAAAAATAAACCTAATTCTTTGCCACAAAAAGTCAAAAGAGCACTATGCTAGTACCCTATCTGATTAAAGCTGTACATTCTCCCTGACACTCCTATCGTGTCTGGGCTCTAGACAGACATTTCCCTCACCCTCCAATGAGACTTCAAGATCATTTCTCTTCTACCCTGATGTAATATTTTCAGCTCCTCTGATTTTCAACCATACAGTCATACTACCTCATATTCCTCTTCATCACTGCCAGTTATCCATTTCACTAACACACCCTTCACTTGCACTCCTCCTACTCAGCCTCCCAGAGTGCTGGAATTATAGGCGTATGCCACCATGCCCAGTAGTACACACTTCTTTTACTTTTTTTAATTTTTTATTTTTATTAGTACTTTTGAACTGCATAATTATTACATTTTTCACAGGGAGTTGCTACATGTACATAACACAGCTTAAATTTTACACTCCCTTTCACCCCCAACATCCCTCCTTCAATCTCTTGGTCCCCTTCCCTTTTACAAAAGATCTATTTCTTATTATTATCTCCCTTTCATTTTGCTCTTTATATTTGGGAGTTTCCATACAAGAAAAATCATGTGATATTTAAGCTTGTGTGTCTGACTCATTTTACTCAATGTTATGGTATAAAGATGCATCCATTTTCATAGAAATTACTTAAGTTGGGGCTGGGGATTTAGCTCAGTGGCATAAGCACCTGCCTTGCAAGCAGGCGGTCATGAGTTCAATCCCCGATACTGATAAAAATGAAAAAGACAAAAAAAAAAAAAGAAGAAATTATTTAAGTTTATCCTTCTTTATGGTAGAATACTACTTCATTGTGTTTAACAATCATTTTCTTTACCCATTCATCTGTTGAACATATAGGCCTCTTGCAGTATTTAGCTTTTATGAATTGCACTACTATAAACATGGCTATGTACACATCGCTGTAATATGATGTCTTTTTAAACCTTTCAGGAAGATACTTACAAGGGGAATAATGGAGTTGAAAGGAATCTAGTTTTAGTTTTTTGAGGCGTGACCACACTGATTTCCATAATGGTGTGTTACTTCATATTCCCACCAACAAAGTAGAAGTGTTCCTTTTTCATAACATCTTCACCAATATTCATTAATATTTGATTTCTTAATGATAGCTATTCTTCCTCGAGTAAGATGGAATCTCAGTGTTATATCAATTTGCATTTCTCTAATGGGCAAAGATGCTGAACATTTCTTCATGTATTTATTGGTTATTTATATTTCTCTTAACAAATGTCTGCTCATTTCAGTTGGCCATATTTTGACCGAGTATTTGTTTTTAGAGGTCTAATTTCCTTGAGTTCTTCATTTACTCTATAACCGTAACCCAAAGAGCTGAAGTTATCATACTACAATGATACCTGCATACCAGTGTTTATAGCAGCACAGTTTGTAATACCTAAATCCTGGAAGCAGCCTGCATACCCATCAATGGATAACTAGATAAACAAAATGTGGTATCTATATATAATGGAATACTACTTGGTTATATAGAATGAGAAATTTGAGGCATCTGTAGGAAAATGGATGCACCAGGAAAATATGTTGAGTGAAATAAATCAGACACATAAGCTTGAATACCATATAGTAGCCCTCATTTGGAATGAGGCAAAGTACAAAGAAAATTATCGATAAAAAAAAAAACTGATAGAAAGGGACAGATCTCATCCAAAAGGGAAATGCTCCAAGGAAATGAAGAAAGAGGGAAAGAGAAATGACACGAATAAAGCTGGACCACAAACAGTCACCTAATAACTCAAATTAATGTAAACAGTATAAGACATACTTATACTGTGCTAAGAAAAAAAGTATTAACAGGTATCAAAAAGATGATTGGGGAACCAGAGGAGGAGGGAGAGAGAAAAGGAAGCAGATTTTAAAAATAAAACAAACTGTATGTACATGTAACCACTTCCCAATCTGCTATAATTGTAAGCTGCATGAATTACAAATGTGCTGATAAAATAAAGCAAAATAAAAGACTGCTTTCACTGTGCCTCCTTGGTTCTAGTATATTGTACTGGTATTATCATTTCATTCTAAAAACTGTCAAAGAATGTGTAGTCTGCTGTTAAGTGGCAGGCTCTATTAAGTCCTTTTAGTCAAAAAGTTGGTTCAATGCTGATATTTATTGATTCTTTAAAATCTAGCTATCTACATGTGACAGTGGATATTTAGGTCTCTCACCATATCTGTGTTAATGTTTATAATATTTACGTCTACTAGTGTGTGTTTTATTAAGTTAGGTACACCAGTATTTGGTGGATATGCATTCATAATTGTTATCTCTTCCTGTTCAATTGTTCCCTTGACCACTATGTTGTAACCTTCTTTGCCTCTTCGCATCAGTTTTAGCTTAAAGTTGACTTTCAGAAAATAGCATAGCTATTCCTGACATTTTTTGGGTTCCCACTGCATTGAATATTGTTTTCCGGCCACTGATTTTTAGACCATGAATTTCATTTTGGAATAAATATGTATCTTATATATAGCATATCCTTGTGCTTTGTTTCTTGACCTGCCAATTTGTTTCTGCCAATTTTTATCTTTTGAGTAGTGAATTGACACTATTCACATTGACAGTCATTATTAAAAGGTATCAGCTTATGGCTGTCATTGCATTATTTTACTGTTCCTGATTCCCTTTCTTTTCCCTCTATTTAACTGCTCACTATGCGTGGTGTATTCATTCTGTTACACTTTTTGGCATTGTTGGCTTCATTGGTCCCTTTTGAGGATATCTTTGAGAGTTGTTTTTGGAGTGCTGGTTTGAAAGTCGTAAGTTTCTTAATGTGCTCTTTGTCATGGAAAGACCTTATTTCTCTATCAATTTTTAAAGATACTTTTGCAGGATATATCATTCTTGATTGGAAGTTGTTTTCTTTTAGAGCTTGAAATGATTCACTCCACATTCTCTTAGTCTTTAAGGTTTTGCTGAGAAGTCTGCTAGAATTCTAACGGGTTTACCTTTATAAGTGATTTGTTGTTTTTCTCTAACAACTTAAGACTGTCTTTGTGTTGGACTACTGGGATTTTGAATGTAATGTGTCATGGAGTTTTCTAATCATGATTTTTTGGGGTTCTATATACATCTGTATGTTAAATTATTTCCCATATTTCTAGTTTCCTGCTATGAGTTCTAGATTATTCACTAACTCCAATTAATCTTAGTCTTTTTCTAGCAGTTGTTGAGTCCATTTCCCATACTCCTGCATTGTTTTTAAGGTACTGTATCACTGAATATGTGGTCACAGGCATCAACCATCATCTTCAGGTTCTGACACTATCTTCACAATGGTCCCTTTCATTGCTCATACTTCCAACAAAATTTTGAATTTCCTGAATTTCTGTATGTTGTCACGAGTTTCCATGAACTCAAATTCTCTTTAAAAACTTTTATTTTTATTAATACACGTTTACACTGCATGATGATCACATTCCTCATTAGTTGGTACACGTACACAACTTAATTTTTTTTATCTACAAGCCTCTTCCCTCCCTCTTTGTATGTTTATTATTATTGTGTGCAATACATGTTTATATTCCCTGTGAGAAGTAAATACATGTACATCACATATCTTAATTTCTCTTTTCATCTCCTTTTCCTTCCCTCATTCCCCTCTCCATGCATCCCTTCATCTCTTTCCCTTTTTTTGTATGTTTATCATACATATTATTTACATTCCTTATATGGAGTTGGTACGTGTAACATACTTCAATTCCTTTTTTTCCATCATTTATCTCTTTCCTCTATCCTTTCTCCCTCTATCTATTAAGTCCCTTCTCTGTTAACAATGATCCATCTATACACTCATACACTCTGCAGAGGGTGCACTGGGGGCAAAGGGAGGAGGTACTGTCACCACAATGGCATGGAAAACCAGTATCTTCATCCATTAATAAAGGTAGGAAACAACATAGTTTT